AACAGGCGGCACCATGCAGCCCCCCATGCCCGCAGCAGCCGGCAGCTTGCATCCCCTTTCCTCTCTCCCCCTCCCAACACGCCCCCCCCGCCTGCAGCAGGTGGTACCCTGCAGCCTCCTCCCTTCCCGGCTGGCCAGTTAGGTACAAACTTGATTTTTACAGAAAAAACTAGCGAGGTGCCCTTCCTCTCTCCCCCTCCCAACACGCCCCCCCCGCCTGCAGCAGGTGGTACCCTGCAGCCTCCTCCCTTCCCGGCTGGCCAGTTAGGTACAAACTTGATTTTAACAGTAAAAACTAGCGAGGTGCCCTTCCTGCCCCGCAGAGCACCCCAGCCAGGGGCCTGTGCTGACCCTCCTGCTGCTGCAGAGCAGGTCATGCAGCAAGCAGGAGGTTTGCAAGGACGGTGGAAATGGGCAATATGGTGGCAGCTGGCAGGGGCAGGTTGCAGTGATGGCGCCTTTACAGCTCTTGACTTCCATGGAACTTTGTGTTTCTGGCTGGTAAGGTTCTTAAGCAGAAAAAACCCTAACCCAGCTTGCTGTAGCTGCTCTGAGCCGCGTGCAGGCCTCGTGCCCAGATGTCAGGGAACGTTTTCCCTCGGGATACCCACCGGGGCAGACTGAATGCCCTTTGTCACCACATGCCCTTCTGAGTTACTCTAAGAAGGCTGAGCTGGCCCTGGGCCCCCCTTAGCCCTTTTGTATGGAAAGATACGTGCGACATCATGAAGAACAAGGTACAAGAAAAGCTAGTAACCGCTCGCACAACCATGCAGGTGAGCTCAGCTGGTACCTGAACAGTGATTGTTTGACATACTTGTCTGAAATTGACGTCATCTCTCGACTGATGGGAAACGGCCTAATGACAAGCAAAGGTGTGGACTCGTGTCAGTTGCTGCTTTACAATTGTCTACAGTCAGGACGTGTAGTACAATGGCACTGAAGTTGCCTGTGCTCTAGTCTTGTGCTTCCAGACTATTGTACCCCTTGCAAGAGTCTGATTTATCTTGTGGCCCCCAAGTTTCACCTCAATTAAACTACTTGCTTACAAAATCTGACATAAAATCGCACGTCACAGCCACACTATCACTGGAAAGGGAAGGGCTTTTACCGCCTCATTTTTACCATATCATTATGAGGCAACTGGAATATAAATATACTTACAATTGACAACACTTGAGCCGGTTTTCTCTCATGAGCCTTGTGTGAAGCCCGAGCCCCAGGGGCAGGGTGAACAGGAGCGGCCTGAGGCCAGCTGCGGCAGCTGGCGCCCCAGGCGGAACGCATGATCGGCGCCCCCGCCTGCATGGCCGTCAATGGAGTGACGTCATCCTCGGGCGCCCCGGACGCCCTGTTGAAGGCGGCGCCGGCCGAGTCAGCCTATAGTCATGGGCCGCCCCTGAGGCTGAAGGATCTGTCTTAGCTTTGCGGAGATGCTTTTCATTGAAGCAGCAGCGCTTGGCACTCATCAGACTGGGTCAGCTCCGGTGATGGCCCAAGCTCCTTCAGGAATTCCAGCCTAGCCTCCCTACCCCTCGTCCTAGGCTTGAAGTTCCTGCAAATCTGGCGCTGCTCCTTCACATGTGCCTCTCCCAAGCCCTTCAGCAGCTATTGTGCGGGTCACTCGTTGGCACAGGCCCGGAGCAAGAAGCACATGACTTGAAACCTAGTGGTTTTCCATTTGTTTCCTCTCTCAACAGAACTAACCCTGTTACTGCCACTAAGAACCAGGCTAACTGTGCGCACAACGTTCACAAAGGCTGGAGAACTGCTCTGGGATACAGCAGAGTGCTGCTGACCGGAATGGACAGCATGGAGCTGAGCAGGACCAGGGACTGTGCTGCACTTTGGTACACAGCAGGAAGGGGAACTCAAGCCCCTGAGAGGAGCTGTTTGATGGCTGCTTGCTGGGTGCCAGACACCAAGAGGAGAATGCACAAAAGACTAATCAAGGCAAGAATATAACCACGTGGAATTTTATTTCCTACAGGAATTTGTTCAACTGTCTTAAATCTAAAATGCACCGGAGATGCTTTGGGGATAAGGCAGTAGCAGGGACAGAAGCTATTTCCCCCAGGTCCAACCAGACTTCCTCTCTGAGCCCTGCTTAAAGTCGCCGCTAGACTGCGTGCTCCAGGTTGATCTCATGAGCACGGTTCCTGAAGAGGGAAGGGGGAGCAGAGGGAAAGGTATCTCAGTCCCGCCGGGCTTAGGACCCACGGATCTGATGTTACTTGGGCTCAAGCACTTGGGAAACAGATGGAGCAACAGTAACTGGTACACTGTCCTTGGCCAGTATGTCACAAAGCCTGAGCTCTCTGATGCTGAAGAGGAGGCAGCGATGTCGTCTCCAGAGTGGAGTTGAGTCTGGGGAGAAACCCTGGTGTCTGTGGCAGCTGAGGACAGACCCGTTTTCTCTTTGGGGCTGGAGGATAGATTCTAAGGGATTTTAATGTTGCCCTGGAAGCTTTTGGGCTGTATAGTCTATTGTCCATCTTAGCGGAAAGATAAGGGAGGACTGGGATGGTCTGCTGGACTTCTGCGGGAGCCCACGTGTTTGTCACTGTGACCATGTCATAGCAATGGTTGAGGGTATGGCTTGACCTGCCTGCATCTGTACCATCTAAATTGCCACAGAGAGCAGTTCTGGCAATTGGCTTGCCTTGCCCTCCTCCACCATCACTGCCAATTCCTGCCCACAGTTCTCTGGTAACTAGTCTTTCAATTTGATAACTTTCTCCCAGAGATGAAGTCATAGCCATTGAATAGAGCCTCTTGGTTTGCAAGCCTGAGTTACAGGTTCCTGGAGCGCACAAACAATCCAGCCTCATCAAATCTATGTTTTTCTTAGCACTGATGCTCGGGGTCCTTGTCTCTTTCGTTAGCAGCTGCCACCACCAAGGAACCAGGGGAGAGAGGCAGTACAAATGCTCATAACCTTTAGAGGAGATCAGTGCTGCCTTTCAGCTGATGTTCCTGAGGTTGAGGGGCAGGGTAAGAGCATGTTGTCTGCCCTATGGCTCCAGACTGGCTTTATCAGTCAGCAGAGCCACTCTGCCAGGGGCTGCCAATATCAAAGTATCTAGTAACTGGTAGGAACTTCCACACCCCTCCTTTGCCTGAACTTTAAGAGGAGATGTCGCCTCAATGGATTCTGATGAGCTGTGTGGACCTCTGGCACTCAGGTTCCCTCTCATTTCTCCATCCATATGCAGAATAAATTTTGTTCTGTGCACCAAGGCATGTGCAGCTGTGCACCATCTGTAGAAACTCATGCCGCCAACTGTGTCCGCTCTACTAATCAGCTGGGTGGCATTTGCATTTCTCCTGGGTGGCGGCCCAAGTGCTCAGCTTCCAGGGACACTGGCTGTGCCAAACTGCTTGCACAGCAGCCTTACCTGCTGCTGGGGACACTACAGCTTTCTGAAGTGATGGCTGCTCCATGACTTGTCGTGGGGAAGCCCCCCAAGTGACTGGCTTCCGCTTGTTCGGAACCCACGGTGGGTCAGGAGCACGAGGCTTCAGCGTGGTCTCAGTGACGGGAACGAGACGGTTGATGATGGGGCAGCACTGACAGGAGAGACACCCTATGGTGTTCAGAATGGCTCCTGATTGGGCCAGGGCCCCTTCCCAGGAGGCCAGTGCTGTGACTGTTCATTACCCACACTCCACACATCTCTGATGGAGCGGGCCAGGCCTCGGCCTTGGATGGGACAGTCGAAAGCGAGAGACCGGAGTGGAGGAATCAGAGATGGCAGAGGACAGAACCAGCTGGGCTGGGGGAGAGCCTCAGTACCACGCTGCCCAGGCTCGGGCTCTCATCAGAGGCTTGCTCTTGGCACCTGCCCTTGTGGCAGCTTGGGAGGCAGTGGGGTGGGGTTCCTGGCAGTGCTGACTGCACCGTGCTCCGCCAGGGATCCTGGGACGCTGCGGCTACGCGGCTTCCTCGTGGCTGCTGAGAGCTGCTGGTTTTGCTACCGATTTCTTTACAGACTGGCACACGCTCTGGAGGCAGAGTCCCCCCAAACATCATGTACGTTGGCTACCTCTGCTCTGGCCCCAGCACGCCCCCCGCAGGTGGTACTGAGCGAGGGGCCATGCTGCTTCTTCCCTACTGGCAGGCGGGACCGGGCGCTTAGGGCACTCGGTGTGTGCGACCGGTCCCGTGGGGCTCATGTGACCGGCGGCCTCCATGAGCCTTGCCACTCGGGCTTACATACCTCGGTGCGGTTACATCCGTCACTTCCCTGGGATTCTCACAGGCTGGGTGGGTCACTGGCCCGCACGGACTCGAAACCTGAGCATGGCACTGCGCCAGCGCTGAGTCTGGTACCCAACGAGGAAACTGGTCCAAAACCTAAAGCCTTAAACTAGCTTTAGAACAAGCTCCAGCCCACTGAAACGTAATCCTTCGGAACAATCACAGGCTGTGCGTGCACAAAGGAGTGACAGCCAATCAGTCGTAAGAAGTGAGGGTGGGCAGTGCCGAGGGGAGAGTGGGGTCCTCTTCCCTGAGCCCCGTCCCCGTGTGTCACAAGCTGGGGGATACCGGGCAGCAGCAAGGGCTTTGGGAAGGGAGGGACAGCTCAGTGGTTTGAGCATTGGCCGGCTAAACCCAGGGTTGTGAGTCCAATCCTTGTGGAGGCCATTTAGGGATTTGGGGCAAAAATTTGTCAGGGATGGTACTTGGTCCTGCTGTGAAGGCAGGGGCCTGGACTCAAGGTCCCTTCCAGTTCTAGAAGATAGGCATCTCCATTAATTTAATTTTGGGCCTTCCCTCATCGCAGCCCCAGGAGCGGGTGCGACCCTGCCATCTGCTCTGCCCCACCCCACTGTGCTCGGCAGGAAGAGGAGTGCCCTGGCCCCAGTCGGCTCCCCTGCTGCAGGGCTCAGGGGAGCAGGCTGGGCGCTCCTCTTCCTGTCACAGTGGAGCAGGCTGTGGTGAGTGTGCCTGCATGCGGGGCCTGAACCCTGCTGCCGCCCTACCACGGACCTTCCCCCTCCAGGTACTCCCCCGGCTGGCCTGGGCCCTGTGGTTAACGGGGGAATGTCCTGTCCACAGGACAGTTGAGATGGCTGCCTGGGGGGCTGCCCCAAACCGTCCTAGGGATGGGACAGCCCCGCCCCCTCACAGCAGCGTGCAATGGTGTGTGGTGGCAGAGAGCACCCAAGCTGCACAAGGCACATGCAAACCTCTAGTAGAGGGGCCACGGGTAAGCCCTTGAAAAACACCACAACTCGGCTTGGATGTCCCTGGGGAAAGCGGCTGGCTTGAGAGTTTGTTCGGCTCACTAAGGGGCTGCTACAGTCACAGCCTCCTTGGCCCCAGGAGCCAGAGGGAAGGAGAAAAAGGCCGGAGAACATTAGCTCCCATATGATTCGCACTGCTCCATGAAGCCCAGGGAGAGCACACATTCCTGCCCTGTGCATGTGATCGGCTGAAGCTGCGAAGAAAACCTGACACCCTTGAACTACAGAAGCAACATCACTGGCTTGATGCTGGATCCTGGTGTTCCACGGACGGGTGGACGGACAGACAGGCAGACAAGGGGGCACTCACTACGTGTGGCAGGAAATAGGCTCTAGCGGACAAAGCATAAAGCTCGGGGCTGGGACTGGACTTGAACCCCATCTCACGCTGAAGCTGCGAAGAAAACCTGACACCCTTGAACTACAGAAGCAACATCACTGGCTTGATGCTGGATCCTGGTGTTCCACGGACGGGTGGACGGACAGACAGGCAGACAAGGGGGCACTCACTACGTGTGGCAGGAAATAGGCTCTAGCGGACAAAGCATAAAGCTCGGGGCTGGGACTGGACTTGAACCCCATCTCACGTTGATCCTCCCTGTAGCGTGTGGACAAATCGTGACCTTCCTACGGCTGAGCTTCCCCGGCTCTCCGAGAAAAGGCTGCAGGATTAACATTAACGCTGTGAAGTGCCCCAAGGAGCGAAGTGCCATGGGTGTGGGAAGGGTTATTATTGATATGATGGTCATTCATACAGAATCATACAGTAATCAGTTAATGGGGATGCTGATGCCCCGGCTGTTCATGGGCGTCTGCTCCTCAGATACCAGTGTCACTCCTGTAGTGACTCCCTCTTTGTACATTTTCTGCTGCAGCAGCTGTCGGGCACCCAGTAGTTGTGTTAAGTTTTCTGGTAGGAGAAACAGTTCTGTGACTCAAGGGGCCAGGGCTCCTCCTCTTGCTCGGCAAATTCCTGCCCCAGGCCCATGCAGTGTTGCTGCTGAGGGAATGGGGTGCCTCCCCTTCTGGCTCTCACCCGTAAGGCAGGGTGTAAATAAGCAGCTGCACGCCTACTGGAAAGGCTGGTCATGGAGAGACACGGTGCCATGTTCAGAGCTGGTTCTGTACAAAGGAGCCCCCAAAACAATCCCCGGGGCTCCGAGGCTCTTCTGGAGCAGCTGTCCCCCCTTGGCCAGTGCAGCCTGTGTCAGCCATAGTGATAGACAAAGTCGTAGCTGCTGGGCTCCTTGGGGATGGGTGGCGGGGCCTCCGGGATCTGGATATTTTCCAGGTCCAAGAGTCTCAGCTTCATTTCCATGCTCAGCAGTGTGTCCAGGTCGCTCTTGGTTAGCTCACTGGACATGTCCTTCCCCAGCAGGGCGCTGAGCCCATCGATCCAGATGCAGTACTGTGAAGAACAAGCAGACAACTTGTACCCCTAGGCCTAAACCAGTGGGAATGTCCCCAGAGAGTCCCCACCCCGAAAGACCAGCACAAACCACAGGTGAGAACGTCCCTCTGGAGGCCTCCTGAAACCGGTGACACTAGCAAGAAATAAACGAGGAATCCAGCAAATGCAGTTAATTCATCGGGGGGGGGGGGGGGGGGAATCCAACCGGGGGGGGGGAGTAATTCCAACCTCAGGGGAGGGAGAAGCAAGAATGGGGTCCCCCAGCGCGAGAGGGAGCAGGCAGTTGGACATGCGTTTGCAACGGGACACGGCAGCAGAAGAGGCTGCATTTCAGGCGTCACCTTTTCTGTTCATGGCCCACCAAGGACGAAGGGGAGTAGGTTAGAGCGGCACCAAGGGCTAGCAGGCAGCTGTTACAAAGAGGGGAGATTTCGCTTTTCAACAACATTTTGAAGAGCGAGACTGGTGCATCTTGGCCAAGCTTTGAAGGAAACTTGTTTTTCCCCATCTCCTCTTTGCAGCTTGGCAGCCTCGTTTCTTACCTCATACTTATTAGGTGCAATGAAGTTCAGCGTCTCGTCAGGATCATACAGTATTGAGAAGGCCAATTCCAACACTTCCTGCAGGAAGAAGTTTTTACTCAGCAGCTGGACAGTTTCTTTCTGCTACACCAACAATATGGGGGGGGAGGGGGGCTGCCAGCTGCAGCCTCAGGCACTTGCACAATGCAGCACTGTGCCCCAGGCACCGCCTCACTATGCCACCAGCCCCAGGGCACCTGGCCAGTCACAGAACAAGGAGGGTGGGAGGGATTCTAGGAGTGACACAGTAAAGAGACCAGGGACAGCGAAGTTGGTGTAGGGGCGCCCGACGAGGCTGGGCCCACGTGTAAATGGTTCCCAGACAGCTGCCATTTAGCGCTCTTGTTTCTGCTGCTTCCACCCTCCCGAGAACTGCTTATCAGCTGAAGGAATGTGCCAAGGAACGGAGGGAGCAATTACCTTGTTCTGCTTCAATGCACTTTTCTCCTTCATGTGCGGGCAGTCCTTCCCCGTCACTATGGCCTTGATGTCTGCTATAGGGACTAGGAGGGAAAGTCACAAACAGGAGAGACTCTGACCATGAAGAGATAGGGCTTTAGCTTGACATTACAGGTGCACAGCCCCGTGTCCATCTGTCTGTCCACAGGCTTCTCTATAGCCTCCATTACCAGACTGTCTGAGCCCCGCAAACCCAGCTCCTGGGGTGGGAAGTCCCAAGGACACAGGCTGATGGAAAGGCCAGTAACTGAATTCAGATCTCGAGTACCGGGCAGTGCTGTAGTCACTAGACCAAAGGCAGGCAATCATTTCTTATGGGGGCCACTCCAAGATTTGGAAAGCGGTCAAGGGCCACACTCTTCCATGATATTAGTGGAGAGATGCGGGGGCTGGGATGCAGGCTGGGTGCAGAAGGGAGCTTGGGGTGAAGGATTGGGGTGCAGGAGGAGGTGTTGGGTCTGGGGGGGAGCTTAGGTGAAGTAGACAGTTGTGACCGAGGGCAGGGGACTGGGGTGCAGGAGGAGGTGCGGGAGTCTGAGTTAGCTTGGGGTGAAGGATTGGGGTGCAGGAGGAGGTGTTGGGTCTGGGGGGGAGCTTAGGTGAAGTAGACAGTTGTGACCGAGGGCAGGGGACTGGGGTGCAGGAGGAGGTGCGGGAGTCTGAGTT